TGGGGGCAGAGTCTTCATAATTTGTCTAATTTTCCTTCATTAGTGTTATCATAATCAGTCTATTCTCGTTTCATAAAAGTCTTAATAATCTGTCCATTTTTCTGTTTTCCGTTCAGTAGAAAGTCATAATATACTGTCTATTTTCCCTTCATCAAAGTGCTCATAATCAATTTCCACTTAATCATAATCGTCATAATCTGTCTATTACCTATCCTGCTAGCCTTGCCGAGCCTCCTGGGCACATTTTGTGGGCGGAGTCAGCCCTTGCCCTTGACCTCCAGTGACAACTCGATGACCCTACGCCTGGTCTCAGACGCCAGTCTCCAGTCCCGGGGTTTTAACGTCACCGTTATCTTCCTGTCCTCCTCCACCACACCGATGACGACATCAACGAGCGCCCCAGTTACTTCAACACCAAGTTCAGGTGTTGCTGGAACTACCACAACGCCGGATGGACACAGCCAGCCCCCGGTCACATTCAGCGGTCAGGTTCTTTTCGATGGTTTTTGAGTCTGTGTTTTACATAACTTGATGTGCGATATTGGTCTTGAAAAACCATTGCTCAAGACAGAATTCTTCTCAGAAAGATAAGGCAATACTGTTTCTAAAGTTTAATCCCTTTTAGAGAAAATTCTGAACGTGCAGTTTTCAGGAGTTTGTAAAGGCTTTCCTTCCATTTGGCTCGTTTGTATCAGGTATGGGCGTTAAATTGAGAAGTACAGCCTCTTTCATAACTAATAGTGTACAGATGGATATCGAACCTATACAATGACCAATAATCGATGGCAATTTTAAACAGTACCCATAGTCATCACCTTTTCAGTTTGCACAGATAACTTGGCGACCAGCTCCCTCCGTTAGCGTATTGTTCCATTTCTCCATAAGAAAATTATTTAGAACAATCTCATCCAACATGCGTGAGAAACAGAACGCGTAACTCCCTAAATAAAGGTCAAAAACACATTAATACTGATGTTGCCACCTATACATTTGTGTAAGTTTTTAGAATATCTCAAATAGATGATGTGAATCATCTTGTAGTAAAGTAATGCACAATCTTTGGGGATTCAAAACGTTGACAAAAGACGCACAATGCTTTGTAATAAAACCAATTCCCTGTCAGTTTTGTTTTTCGATTGATCATTTCAATACAATGTTACTATAGTGTCTTTGACAAAACGCAATATCTCGTACGTGTGTTATTGCAGGTTGCAACGGCACGATCCTGTCAGCGGTTTCGAACATCAGCTCTCCAAACTTCCCCCTCAACTACCCTCACAACTCTTACTGCGTGACCAGGCTAAGGAGTGACGTACACAGCACCTTCTTCATCCACTTCCTCAACTTTCACATCGAGGAGGCCGAAGATTGTTCCTACGATTCTCTCACCATTTTTGGAGGTCAGTAGCCAACCCGGAAACGTTGAATTATGTATTGTTTTGTTTTTATTTGTGGACGTGTGTTTGTGTTTGTGTGTGTGTGTGTGTGTGTGTGTGTGTGTGTGTGTATGTGTGTGTGTATGTGTGTGTGTATGTGAGTGTGTG